CTTCCTTCCTTCCTTCCTTCCTTCCTTCCTTCCTTCCTTCCTTCCTTCCTTCCATCTTTCCATCCTTCCTTCTTTAGGGGATGAGGAGAGGTGTTACTGGGAGGTCAAACTGGCCTGTAAATTCACAATGCAGGCTGCACCCATACACAATCACAATCACACAGTACGCACCATGTCCCTATCCATTAAACCAAACATTTATATTCACTTTTGTGAGCTTTATTAAAAAAATAAAATAAAAGAATCCCTGTGTATGCCTATGTGTGCATGTTAGTTAATGGCATTCATTTTTCACCCGGGATTTCCATCAGAAAGCGCCATGATTTCTCTTGCACTTTCTATTCTCTCTTTCATTATTTCTCTTTCCGTTTCCGAATTTAGTTTCTACTGCCTCTTATTAGATAGATAGATAGATAGATAGAGATAGAGATAGAGATAAAGATAGAGAGAGATAGAGATAAAGAGATAGAAACAATAAATATATATATCTTTAAAAAGGAAGTGCCGTGCCTTGAGATTTAATTCTCCTTGTTCCGGTGCAGAACTGATGGAAATTTCCCTGTCTTTCCCATAGCAGAAACCCCAAGGAAAGGAGAGTATGCTTTCCTTTCTGTAGGGACAATGGGCAGTCTGGAAGAGCAGGATTTGAAGAGTTTGAGCCGCCCTCCCTAGCTGTGGATTATGGTTCTGATGTAAGTTGTCGTCCCTTTGGCCCATTATTATATCCAAATCCAGTTACAGTTTGCTACACATTTAGTGGTGTGGCATTCATCCCTGGATCTTTGCTACAAGCAACTTCCAATTCCAAGGTCCCTGGAATTAACTGCCAAATTAGCTACAAATCAGAGGATGTGATTTAGTTGAATGCCAATATCTGAATGACATTTCCCTTCATGGGGCTCTTTTCTTCATGCTCTTTTCCTTGTTTTGGAGGCTACATCAAATGTTCCTGTTCCCCCCACTACACACAACAGAGAGTTATTAAATATCTGAATAACGGCCTGATATTTTCAGGATATCTAACAGTTAGGATTCTCTACGTATTTCAGTATTCTTCTCAGCTGTTCATGCCACTGAGCTGAGTTTCAAGTTATCTGATATGTAGCCACTTAAAGCCGCTGAGCAGTTTCTTGGCTCTCATCTTCCCGGGTCTCTGAAGCGGAGGCTGAGAAAACCTTTCCATCTAATGTGAGTGTGACATTCATTCCTAGGAACATACGAGTGCTCCTTGGCTCCAGTGGAAACATTCCTTAGGAGCCAAAGCGATGGCACCATGTCATCATTTTAAAGGGACAACTGGGTACCTTTTTATCGGTGCAATTGGATGTCTCAGTGGACTTTTATATCTGGCCCAAAGTCTAAAGCTTTTAAACTTTAGTCAATCTGATTTTATCATCTATCTATCTATCTATCTATCTATCTATCTATCTATCTATCTATCTATCTATCTATCTATCTATCTATCATCTCTCTCTCTCTCCATCTATCTATCTATCTCTATCTATCACTATATCTATCTATCTATCTATCTATCTATCTATCTATCTATCTATCTTTCTATCTATCTATCTATCCTCTCTCTCTCTCTCTACATCTATATCTATCTATCTATCTATCTATCTATCTATCTATCTATCTATCTATCAGTATCTATCTATCTATCTATCTATCTATCTATCTATCTTTCTATCTATCTATCTATCTATCTATCTATCTATCTATCTATCTATCT